ACTTGTGTGCTTGTTTGTTCTGTCTAAAATGTTTATTTTGGAATAAAGAGGTTAATATAAAAATTTTTTTTTGTCCGATTCATCGATTAATCGAAAAAATAATCGGCCGATTCATCGATTAATCGAAAAAATAATCGGCCGATTCATCGATTTTTAAAATAATCGTTAGTTGCAGCCCTAGTCATAAACCAATGGTTATGACCACAGTATACCAAACCAATTTTCTGCCATTTATTTCAGCGGGATGATATTCATTGTTACATAGCTATTGGTAAACTGGTTTAACATGTTCAACAGCCTCCATGAATCTTCTAACTAAATGCAATAGAGCTCACTGAAGAAGTAAGTGGAACAGCATTAGGAGTTTGAAGTCAAGAAAAAACCTGTCTGTCATTATCATGTTGACATGGATCTCCTTTGTTTCTTATACATTGTTGCTTCTATAGCATGACAAAAATTAGGCACGTTTAATTACAAGACAGGAGAGTCAGGGTTTAATTCTGTAGAGACATACTGTTGAAGGTGAGGTATCCAAAGAGTGCAGCCAGCAGGTACATGATGAACATGGCCAGGAAGGACACGTTGGCAACATTCTGCATCTTTCTGCGTGAGCGGCTGTTTACGGGAGATAGGTATTATTTAGACATCATTTTGTAGAAATATAACATGGGTTTAAATATTAGAGAAACTTTGATATTACACCAAGGAAGCAGGACTTACTCTTTGAGCTCCTCATACATGGGTAGGAGGGTAGGGTGGCACACAAAGGCAAAGGTAACAATGGGAATAGAATAGACAGTCTGGAAAAATGAAAAGATCCAAAGGTTACAAATAGTTCAACAAATATAACTGAAAAGATTCGCAGAAATAGATGTATTTACCTGTGAGTTAAAGACAAAATATTTAGGTCTGCAAGTGTCATCATCGGTGGTGGTGTTGTCGCTGTGGTGGGTGATGTTCAGCAAGGTTTCATTCACATGATCAGTCATAGGCAGAGGGCACGGTATCTCGAACTTCTTAATAATCACCTGCAGAAATGCATGGGAAAACAGGTTTCTATGCTGCACCTTTACTATTTATATAGATCCTTTTGGAGTTTTTTAGTGGACTGATTCATTAAATCTAAGGGCTACAGGTGGAATAACAAAACAAGTTGGAGCCATACTCACAACAATCAGGAAGAACACCATGCAGAGAAGAGACAGACCACTGGTGTAACCAAGATGACCTAAGAGAGAAAGAAAAGAATAAGTCTCTGTTTAGACATGCCACTTTAACCATTATTATCATTACCTAGGAAATACATTGTATAACTCAGACCCTCCTTACCCAAATTCTTAAGCAGAGAGAGGGGCAGGATTATAATAACCGAAACCAGCAGAACAAGGTAATCTCCATTAATGTACCATTCACTGAAATACACAAAGAAATAACATTAGTAATCACAGATAGTTATTGTCACAGGACAATTATGCTGTTTTTTTACTCCATCTTCCCCTTTTAACAATTTAAAGGACCCCCTGATTATTCATGTCTGTTCTTATAAAATATTATTGCTGTGTGTCATGCTTAGAGTGACCTGGTCACCTCTAAAAGGCCTCATCAATGCTTACAATTTTACAATTTACCTGGTGCAGTGACAGCAACAACAAACCTAACAAACACTGCCATAAATTGTCCTGCACAATGTTAGCTGCACCGCTCTCAGATATAGAGCAGCATCTACAATAAAGTTGCTCAAAGGAGCTGAGCCACATTAATGTGCTTCACTATCTCGATGCTGTACCAGCATTGAAGTAGCTTACTTTTAGTGACAAGCTTCTATTTTGTACAGTTTACTGTAAAACTTTTTTTCAGTATGAAATAAAGACATCTGCTAGGAGACATATTGTATTGATCATATCTAAATCCGTACCACTCCTGGGGATGTTTTATAATCACTTCAACAACACATGAGTTATATTAATTCCCTGTACAGTAGCAAACATTCAAAATGGCCCATTCCAGTCAAACCCCACCCGAACGGCAGTCTTCTCCCCTGCAACTCACAGGAAAATGAACTCCAACTTCCAGCCACAGCAGTTTTTTTAACCTGACTCCAACCTTTCACTGAATTACAGGGTCTGATCAGGAGATGATGCTTCTCTTTAGATCTTAATGTCCTCATGACAGAAAGAATATTTTAATACAAAGATTGATGTTAAAAAAGGAATTGTAGGGGACCAGCCAAGGACCGATCGAGGAAAGTAAGGAAATTTTGAATGGGTGCTACTGTACTTGACTTGTACTTCTACTTGAAGAAACTACATTTTATTTTATAACAAAATCACCATATTTTATTTTATTAATAATTAACACAAAAAAAACTCATAACCAATTCAACTAAATAGGTTTGAAATTATTTATTTGCAGCTTAAAAATGCTGGTATGAAATGTTGGTATAAATCGCTTCAAAAATTTAGCCACTCACCCATTATTTGCTCCAGTAAAAGTCTGAATAACAACGGGCAGCTCATGTTTGATAATAAAGAGGTAGGTTGACATGACTGTAAAACAAAACAAAATAAAAGCAATTAGTACATATTATTAAAAAGAAAGCAATGCTCTTTTCAGGGTCTCCAGCTGCATGTCAGGGAAAGGTGTTCCAATGCTAAAAGAAGAGGCAGTCTGTTGGAAGCATCTCTATGATCTACTGAGATATTCTGGTCTCTGCTTTCATTCAGCTGTGCATTTTAGCTTAAAAAACGCCTCATTAATGATGAATGTACAGAGCAGTTACATCTCTGCTCCAGAGCATAATTCTAATAAAAAAGATATTTCCACTTAAACGTCAGTCCCTTACCTCCAATGTTCTGCATGGTGATGGAGCAGGAAGCTGCAAGTTTTCCTGGCATCCCAAAGGCTTTGTAACCCAGCTCCTCATAAACACTGGCACCTTGGAAAAGAGAAAAATACCAAAGGTTTTACATCTGACAACTTAATGTGATCAAACATAAAAAGCTGTTTTTAAAGTTGCGCTGCAGCTCACCTCCTTCTATGGCTGTTTTTAACAATAGGTGGACAGAATACAAGGAGAAAATGGCAACAGACGCCAGGAGAATCCTGAAAACACAAGAGAAACAAAAAATATATGAAACAGAAAAAAATGGCCAAAGTAGTTTACTAATTTGCATTCCAATTTATCAAAAACAACAAATCAAGGCTTTTGAAGAGTTTTTTTTTTTTTATTGATACCAAGTGATACAATGACCAGCCAAAGGGGAAACTTCCTCATTCAACACCTCCTCACTGAAAAGACCTAACTATTTCTGGCATAAATATAATACAGAACAACTGCCTTTCCATTAGTGATCCATCAATAGGTTAAAAAAACCCAACATGAATCCTTCTGTTTTATTTTTTCTTCATTATTGTGCACTTTTTGTTCACTAATGGAAAGGCAGTTGGCCTTTCCATTGGTGATCCATCAATAGGTTAAAAAAAACCCAACATGAATCCTTTCTTCATTATTGTGGTTGAAGACTGACATCCCAAAGGAGACATTGCCCTGGTGCTGAGGAGACAAAAAAAGTTAAGTTAAAGAAATAAATTGAAAAAGCTTTACTTGATGTAATAAGGTGAATCCACCTTAACTTACATATTCAGTTTCATATTTCTTCTTGCTTGTGTTAGGGTCAGTAAGGAAGTTTTCACTCTCTGCGTCTAAATCAAAGCATGGCCTTTAATAGAAGGAAGAGAATTTGTTTTAAAATGTGTTCAATCAAAATTTTATTTCTTTAGTCTGCATGTTGGAACAAGTCAAAATGAGCCTCACCCATCCAGAGGAACCTTCTTTCCATAGTCGGGGTAGTCATTGCTGTTGGAGCTGCAGCTGTCGTCATCTCCAGGAGTGTTCAGGCATTTCATCTCAGTTCTAGACCAAGCCTTATCGGACATTTTAGAGCTAAACGCACAAAAAACAAAATGGTTAGATTACTGTGTGTCCTCTTCTTCCTTTTCCTTCACTCCTGGAGGAGATGCCGCACAGTGGCAGCCCACTGCTTCCCAATGGGATGGGTTAAATGCAGAGAGTTTCTCCATTCTTCCTGCATCAAATCCAACTCTGTTTCTTGTCTTATAAAGGTGTGTTTTTCAGAGGGCTCTCTCTCTCTATTTAAATCAAGAGAAGACTCTGCTGGGCTGCATAGTGACGGCAGCAAGAAGGTTTCAAGCTCGATTCCCGTTGTAACGATTGATGACCACAGGCAGAAATGATTTCCTGTGGCACTCTGTGGTGCATCTGGGTAAAAGAGGTGTGAGGGTGTGCGTGAATAATTGTTTGTCCTGTTTATCTCTGTGTCGCCCAGCGATGGACTGGCAACCAGTCCAGGGTGTGCAACTTGTAGAACAGAATTTCTTTCAATGGGTGTGAATTTTTTTATTTTTATTCGACAAATACAAAACTTAGAACATAACTCTTTCAACAACTTCAAATTCACACTTACAATGCACAAGCAGTTTGAAACAAAATCATCTTCATAAACAGCTACTCGTTTCAACACGTTACTTTAAAAAATCTCTCGTCTTTTAAATGTTCTCATCTCACTGAAAACTGTTGTCAACCATATTCTTGTTATAAAAATGAAATAGTAAATGGAGTGTACTATTTTGTGTATGTGTACTTATTACATGTGCTTATTATAGGCTACTCCCATTGAGAATATAACTTTTTCCTAGGTCAAATTTAGTAATTAAATCTATATATGTGTTTTATATTCACTTATAATTTCGCTATTTTCACTGATCCTTAATTAACAAAGTTTCTTTTTTCCAACATCAGGCTTTTTATTTAATTCCATACTTCCAGAACTGGTATTCCTATCTTCTTAAGATCAGTGGTTCCCAAAGATTTTCTTCTGGGCCCCCCTTTGGATTACAATAAAATTTCTTTTAAGATTTATAAGAACTGAAACTTATCAGGACAAAGAGCGTTTAGTTTGAAACAACAACAATTCACTGTTTACACTGATCTGACAAACATTCTTGACGATAACAATGAAACTAAAATTAATCAAAATACTACATAATATATGTTCTCTCTTTAGTGAATCACATTATAACAAATTTTCCTTTATAGATCATAATACTCATTATCACAGTACAATCCTTAAAAAATCCTGAATAGGAATAATATACGATTTAAATATGTATATCATATTTGTATTATATAATATGATAACAATTTAATATAAAACTTTGTGTTTATCATATTAATTAATTGCGGAATATATAACTGCATGTATATATTTCATCCAGTCTGACTTCACTTGTATTTGTTTCATACATTTATTGTTTCATAAAATTATTAAATGTGGACACATTAGCTAGATTGACATTGGTATTAAAATTAACACAGTGTATGTTAAATTAACATTGGCATTTTTGCTGCATGTTTTTAGATCAAATGCCTTTTCTTTTTTAATTGTTTTTTAAAAATTTTATTTTTATTTTTGCTGAGTAGCAATGCTGTCTTGCAGCAAGAAGGTTCGGAGTTCGATTTCCAGCCCGGATTGTTTCAGCAGACAGCTGGAGATAGGCACCAGCACCCCTTGGACCCCACTTGGGATAAGCGTGATGGAAAAGGGATGGATTAATTCTGCTGCTCAGATCTCAGTCAGCAGAACCTTGATCCACGAACCTTTAAGAGTTTTCTTCTTTGTCTTCAAAGCCATTTTTACGAATGAACACCAGCATATTCATTTACAGAGATTTCATAGCCTTGTGTGGAATTATCAGGGCTTCAATTATGCACATTTACATTT